CCAACCCATGTACACCTCTCTCAGTAATGATGGGAGGAATAGACAAACCCAACCCATGTACACCTCTCTCAGTAATGATGGGAGGAATAGACAAATCCAACCATGTACACCTCTCTCAATAATGATGGGAGGAATAGACAAACCCAACCATGTACAACTCTCTCAATAATGATGGGAGGAATACACAAATCCAACCCATGTACACCTCTCTCAGTAATGATGGGAGGAATAGACAAATCCAACCATGTACACCTCTCTCGGTAATGACGGGAGGAATAGACAAATCCAACCATGTACACCTCTCTCAGTAATGATGGGAGGAATAGACAAATCCAACCATGTACACCTCTCTCAGTAATGATGAGAACAGGGAGGGGGGGAAAGTGCACAGATATACATACAAATCCAAATGACACTCTCAATCATCTTATCCTAATTCACATTTCTAAAGCTCAGTACCCAACTCCACCAGCAACTGCAGAAGCAATTGGTCTGTCAGGAAAACGTGATCACAGATCAGAGTGGAGTGGGAACAGACAGAGGAGAGAACTCCTATTTCTGGAGCCTCCCAATCCATGTGAAGAACGTCCTACACAATTATGCCTAAAGTCTCAGGCAACCCTACAAAGTGTCACCTTCATTTTTGCAAATGGGAAATGGAGATTAGAGGTGAGAAGTGAGTTGCCCAAGTTATACCTCTTTGGTGGGATGCAAGCTAAGTATCCCAGAGCTGGCACCAGCTGTCCACCTGCTGTCTGAGGTTTAGGTCTGGACACAGGCATTGGCAATAGGAATTCAGTTCTTTAAAAATCGTATCATTGGGAATGGGGGAGTGCAGAACCCTTGATAAGTTATAGATTATTATTTTCATATCTTACATCGTCCCCTGTTGCCCTTCACCCACTTTTCTGTTGCTCATCCCCCTGAGAGGGTTATATGTCGATACTTGTGATCAATTCCTCCTTTCTCCCCCACCTTCCCCTTATCCTCCTGGTATCTCTATTCTCGTTGTTGACCCTGAGGGGTTTCTCTGTCCTGGATTCCCTGTGTTGCAGGCTCTTATCTGTAGCAGTGTGCATGTTCTGGTCTAATCCAATTTGTAAGGTAGAATTGAGGTCATGATAGTGTGGGGAAGGAAGCATTCAAGAACTAGAGAAAAGTTGTGTGTTTCATCAGTGCTATACTACACCCTGACTGGCTCGTCTCTTCCTTGTGACCCTTCTGTGAGGAGATGTCCAATTGTCTACAGATGGGCTTTGGGTCTCCACTCCACGCCCTTCCCCAATTCACATTGAGTATGATTTTGCTCTGGTTCTTAGATGCCTGATACCTGATCCAATCGACACCTCATGATCACCGAAGCTGGTGTGCTTCTTCCACGTTGCTTCTCAGCTAGGCATACAAGACTATGTTGCTTCTCAGCTAGATAGCCACTTGTTTATCATCAAGCCTTTAAGACCCCAGATGCTATCTCTTTTGATAGCCGGACACCATCAGCTTTCTTCACATTTACTTATGTACCCATTTTTTTCTTCAGCAATCGTGTTGAGAAGGTCACCATCACAGAATGCTGGATTATTAGAACAAAGTGTTCTTGAGTCGAGGTCCAATGTCCATCTGCAACCTTAATTCTTAACATACAGATATAAATACATAGATCTATTTACTTCTCATTATATATAAATATATTTACATGTGTACATGCCTGTATTTAGACCTCTATAAATGTCCTTTGCCCCCTGGTTCTTTCCTCTATTTCCTTTTACTTTCTTCTTGTCCCACTATCATGTTTGGCCTTCATTCAGGTTTAGTAATTCCTCACTGCTACATTGCCCTTATTTAAGTCCCACTAGGAATTTTACATCCTTCTCTCCATTGATTTTAGTTCACTTGTTATTCCCTTGTGCCTGAGCTGGTTGCCTTACCCCCCTTCCTTTCTCCCACCTCCTCTTCTCCAGTATCCCTCTGGAACCATTGGTCCCGTTATTTTCATCTCTGAATTGTTTGTCCTGCCTATCTTATCTAAATAGACATGTAGAGACCTTAATAAGTGCAATAAACAGGTAAAGCCAAACAAAACAACAAAGGAAGTCAAAATCAACAAACCATTGACAACAACAAAAAAAGAAAAACAAAATAACAAAAGCAAAAAGAAAGCCACTGACAAAAATGGAAAAGCCTATAAACAATTCAAGGTTTGTTTGTTGGCCTTTACACGTGTTTTCTAGTCAAGTCTGATGGGGTGCCACACTCTGTTTCCAAACTCTATCTTTGGTATTCCCCGGGGGAACTTCATCACTTTGCTCCCCATGCTACTCTGTTGTATGCCCTTAGTGTTTCACCCCAGTGTGATGGGGTCGGGTTGGGTGCAGTTCCTGCACTGTCTACAGTGTTGTCACCCATAGCACTATGGTTCAGTGAGGGACATTGTGTCTCATGATGGGGCTGGCCCTATGGTCCTCTCCATGCATTGTCTGCTCTGAGCAGGAATGCTGTCCTTGAGGCTTGGTGGGCCAGCACGTGTTCCCCTCCCTCTCCTTCCCTCTTCGTTTCTCCTGTGTGTCTAATCAGACGTGCCCCCTCCCCATGCCGTGGCTTTAGTGCTGTCCGCTGAAGTCCATTCTTCTGTGGGGAGAGGGGGAACTACATTACCATTTTATTTGGATGATGTTGAAAGCTTGTGAAAAATGACATCAAATCCCACGTGGAATAAGGTAGTATAAATTAACACACATACAAGTCTCTTATTACTATAGCTGCTTAAACTATGAGGTAGTAACAAGATTAATGACCCACACAGGGAAACGTAAGTTTAAAAATTCTTTTTACTAAATTCTTATATATGATAATGAAAAAAAAAGCCTACATAATAGAGAACAAACATACACTCTTCACTTAAACAGCATTATTTTCTCATTTAAAAAATGCGTTTTAAATTCAGAGTATCACAAAAAAGGGCTTTCTTAGATCCATTTAAAACATCCTTTTACTCCTCACCCATTTCTGTGTATCTACTCTTGCCCATGGTAGACTTTTACTTTTCTTCACTGTAGGAATCTTCTGGGTAATGGTTACACCAAGAATTAAAATCACAACCAAGAGCAGCACCGAAAATAGATCGCTTGTGAGCGTCCATCTCACGTGCCACCACTGAGTTCTCCCCGTCCAAACAAATAGGAGTGAAGGAAAGCAACGATACAAGGAAACGGTCCTTTGGACAACACAGACAAGGAAGCAGGCCTGCTGCACTACACAGACCGTTCACAAACCTGAGCGGAAAAGAACCCCATGGTACAGGGCTGCCATTGCTGACCACTCGACAAGCGACTACTATAGGAGACCCTAGAGCGAGTGGGAGAAAATTATGGAATAAAACCCTAAAACAAAAAGAGACCATGCCCATAGGTCTGACACAGGATGATGGAGCCTTTGAGCCTATGGCCCTTAGACACCTTTCAGGCCTGAATCTGAACTCACACCCTTCGCCTGGGCTCACCTTTCAACCATAGGAGAGAAAGGCTTGTAAAGGTAACACCCCATCACCCAGCAGATACCAACTCCTTAGAACAATCAACAATACGAAATCAAAGGGGCAAACGTGGCAGCATTTAGGTGGGAAGGAAAGAATGAGTGGAGAGAGGAAACACGTGGAGGAAGCAGAGAGCAGTTGCACTGTGGAGATTGCAATCCATGTCACGAAACAAACTGCCTATGCATTGCTGAGGGAAAACCAATTTGCTCGGTACCCTTTCACAGTAAAAAGTTAAAAACATTTTTTCTGAATCCTCAAAGCATCTTTCTAAGAAAGCAAAACTAGCATTTATTGAGCAACACCATTTGGCAGAGAACAGGTGGGATACTTTATAAACACCATTTCGTTCCATTTGCAGAGCAACCCCCAGGAGATTACAGGTGAGACAGTCAAATTATGTTTTTGGTTTATTAATCTCAGACATACTGAGTTGCTAAAGGGTGCCTAGCTATTTAAGTGGCAGCCTCTAGGTTTATATTCCAAATTGTCCCAGAGCCCTGTCCTACCCATTCCATCACTCCTTATAAGCAACCATTCTGTTTCTATAACTTCTCTCTGTATCTATTTTATCTCCCTGAATTACATAAATATCAAGACAATGCCTTATATATATGCTTCCTGCATCCCATTCTATTCTTCATGTCATAATCAATACTCCAAAGGTCTCAAATCAATGAATGGAAACATCCCATCCTTGAAAGAGAACATTACTGCTGGTGATGTAGCATCAGACCTCTCAACCCGCCTCAGGGAGGGGTGTATCCAAATCTACCTCCTTAGTCCACATAAGACGTTTCTCCCTCCCTCTGGCAGCATGTCGAGAAGCCAGAATAGAGTTCCTGCCAATAAAACCAAAATCACCAACAGCATGGGATCAGCCATTCCTTCCAACTTTACTTCTCCCACCACGAGAAGACACTGTTTCATCAGCATTTTCCTTTTGTTTATCAGTATAGTCCTGTCCATTAAGGATTCAAAGAATTAAGACATGTAACATTAAACTCTCTAATAAGAATGTTGGACAGAATGGAGTTAAGGAACAAGACCCGAAAGGAAACAGGTGCTGCATTTATCA